CTTTGAAACTGCCTAGTTATAATAAATAACTGTATCCTGGCATTATTTAAATCGTCGCGAAAAACAAGTATCTCCAAAATGGTAATCTTACAGGAGAGGTTCTTCACTTTCAACGTAAGTTAATCTGAAGATTTTCTTCAGAGCAATTCTAGAGCATTTCTGATCCAATCATCATGAAATTTATGCAAGTTCAAATTATGCAGGAAAATAAAAATCAAAAAATGGAGATACTTTTTTCTGTTTTGTGATGAAATGTATTTTAGTTTTCTCATTTGCTTTCTAATGAAATAAAACAAAGAATAAATCTATTGTAGAAGTTGTATCACGTGCAAAGGCTACAAACTTTAATTTATGCCCATCTTACTGAACGCTGCAGATTTATATGTATGTCATCTTTGACTTTACTTGATTCAAATGTGTACATCGGTTCCACATGAATAAAATGTTATCAACTCAGTTCTTGCCTAAAGTGAATAAACTGAAAGAAAAACTGTATTGATGTAACATATTTTACTCATGTGGAATCGATGTACAAATCTGAATCAACTAAAGTCTATGCATTTTTTTTCAGTGTGGTATGGCACATAAAAAAAAATCACCTACCATGATCTGGAGTGATTTATTTTGCAACAACAATTTAAGCCCAACCAAAAGATTTTGTGAAATTATTTATCATTACAATTAATCTGAGAAACTATGAGATTATAACTGGACATTGAATACGTTTCCAATGCAGTGTTAGTTCAAATAAACAAATCATCTGACATTAAAATTGTAAAATGGCATCTTCACAGTCAACCCAATAGAACGTCAAAGATAACTGAGCCTTCAAAGTTTCTTCTGAGAGCTAAGCCCCTTTTTCGTCTGAGTATTTAAAGCAAGGGTGTTAAGAGGTCAACACTCAGCTGAGGTGCTCAACTGGACTCATTTCCTTTCACAAGGGGAGAGAGCCAAATTTGACAAAGCTAAGGAAAATCCATCTAAACCTGCCAATATCTCAGGGCTTATAAATGTCACTAGACTAGTTTGCCCACTCCTGACCACTTCCTTCATTCTGAGGCAGCCATGCCATGCAGAAGGACAGGCGGGACAGAACCTCCATAGGATGGATGTGGATGAGAAAACAAAAAGAGGCAGCGAGCAGCAGAGCTGTGGAGGTAAACCTGAGGCATGCAAACACACAGCTGAGGGACAGATTTTCTAAAAGAAGCCACTCAATATTCAGCAATAGATGCATGCTATGACATCTGTGCAGTTGTGGTGAGGCTTTGTGTTGTTTTTAGATCTGGTTTATCTAGTGGTTACAGCGGCTTCTCAGAACTGTCTTCAATAACGTCTGTGTTTTATTTCAAAACTTTGTTCTCAGTGTCATAATTCAATTCTTTTTGCAAACTTGTCGTCTCCTAAAGCCAGAGTGCTTCTTCTGATTTCTACAAAAGCATGAGATGAGCTAGCTAGCAGTTCCTGAATACACTCATTCATTATGCCAAGCCAAGTCTGCCCGCTAAAAGCATGACTAAATATATGACCTGAATTAAGCAGTTAATGATAATGAATGAATAAATATATGACTGTTTAAAGACTGTTTAAAGACATGACAATGCCAAGACCTGATTAGTACCCTGTCTCCCTCTTACAACAATCACAAATAATTTCCTTTAAGCTTTTAGTATTTCCTTCCTACTATTTTTGTACAATGAATGTACACATTTTAGATGTGCTAAACTATTTTTTATATAAGGTTACACAAATGCCGCTGGTCAGTAATGACAACTGATGATGCAAAGCAAATTACAGAGTGAATATATACATATACATATACATATATATATATATATATATATATATATATATATATATATATATATGTGTGTGTGTGTGTGTGTGTGTGTGTGTGTGTGTGTATGTATGCATACTCACATATATGTTAGATGTTTATCTATATAACGTGTGTGCATATTGTATATAATTATTTTTAAATTAAGAATTATTATTCTTAAAAATTATGTTTCTTTAAGGGTTCTTCAGTAAAGAAAATGGTAAACAAAAAATGTAGAACCTTTTTGAAAAGGGTTCTATATAGCACCAAAGGGGTTTTTTCTATTGTTACCATGTCAAGCTTGTTACTATAAGCTACTATACTATACTTTACTATACTATCAAACTATAATTTGGTGGAAGGAACTGCTAAGATTAAAACATATTATGCCATGTTCACAGCCCAATTTATTTAATTCTTACTTTATTTATTTAACTGTTGTATAAAAGCAATAAAACACACGAGGTTGTGTGATATCGCGGATAACACACGGATATATATATCGCTGCCTTGTCTCTCCATTTTTGTTGTTTTTCAGTTTTTGACATTATTTGAAAATACCTGTCACCCTTTACATTGTGTGTAAATTTAATGAAGAATGGACCAAAATAAACAGCCCAAAATGACTTGGAAAAAATTCTGGTTCCATTGACGTATATTAAAAGTAAAGTAGGTTTTTTCTTTCTCCTGAAAGGTTACCATTTTAGAGATGAGGTTTTCTTCTGACAACAGCAAGATATATATCAGAAATCATATACGCACATTGATTATTAGCATTGAGACCACTATCTAAGATGTGTCTACCAGCAAACTCATCTATATCTCACTATCTCTCTCTCTCAACACAGCCATGCATGGACAAACTCACATGCTTCAACTTGGCACAGTACTAGTACATTGAGGAGGTGTGGTCTTTCTTCTTGTGAATAGTCTACTATATGAAACTATAATTGATTTTTGCAAAGTAGCATCATGATGCTGATAGAATTCATATGACATTTCAGTGTGATCCGGGAGTCTCCGATACACTCATAGTGGAGATATCAAGACTTTCCATTCACAAGTATCTTTCGGTGCTACTGTAATGATGAACGAGTGAGGCCCTGACATAATCGTTCATCATAAAATTCAACAGAAGTTAGATATGAAGAGAAAAAGTGAAATTAATAAGTAAACAAGCACACTAAGAAGATTTAGAAAGTGAAAAACATACCATTAGTATTTTAGTGTGTGTTTTCCAGAATTTAGTCACAGAGAAATCTATCTATTTGGACAGGTTTACTGTACTGTGGTATTGATAAGCCCTAGCCATTGCAACGACATTTGAATTTAGTACAATTTTACTGTGAAACCGATGAGAGCCAAACAGCAACAGTGAGTAAATTACGTATTTTAAATATGTTCCTTCCCCAAATGAGAGAGCTGATTTCATAGCTGCAGCTTAGTTTTTACTTGAAAATCAAGGCTACTGTGTTGCATAAGTGTAGACAAGGAGTTCCAAACATCCCAATTTGAAACTACACTGGACTGAACAAATGGTTTGAAGATGCATTTACATTCATAACACAGGCCGTGTACCACTGTACCACCACATTTTGCAATGACAAACAGAAAATGCTATTTTAGAACAAACTTCTATTGGGTGTTTTATCTGAGCTCTGGCCAGAGGTGGGAAGTCATGCCTTGGTAAGTATGACTTAAGTATCTGCACTTTAAAGCAGCACCATGTAATATGTTTTGTTAAAACTGAAATAAGTATTACTACTCAGAAAAAAAGAACAAATAAAATATGGTGAGTTGCCTTGTAAAGCCTGAAATAATCATTTAATATTACAAAATGTTCTTCTGTGCGTTGGATGCAATTACAAATTTCCACCAGAGAGGTCTCCAAATCCCCAACTCCTACATAGTGTTGCCCTTTGTTTTTCTTTTACTTAAGACTTCTGTGCATCAGCTGATTACAAACAGACTAACAAATCTAAACCCTAAACCCTAATGAATGAAAACAGCCAAGTGAATAATCACTTGACAAATTTAGTTTAGTTTCTCACTTCACCCTGTACAGGGTAGAGAGGTGATGAGCAATCGTCAGTACAGTGTCAATTGTACAGTGACAATGGCGATTCTCACTATGTTTCATTTATGTATCAATATTTTCACAGATACTTCTTTAATTTCTTAGGAGAAACAGCATCGGACAAAAAGGAGAAACGATATTTTGAGATGGCCTTTAGTCTTGGATGAGAAATGTTTAGTTCATATTTTCATATTTCATTCAGCTGCTGATAAACATGAGTGTTACTATCTTAGCAAATCTGAGCATAACATGTACCTTTATTGAGATCTCTACTAAAACTGAAGAGGAGACACATGAGATTATTGAGGTCTTTTACTGATCAGATCTCACTGTTGTTTGAAAGAAACTACACAGATATTAAGGAGATCTCCTTTTTTTAGTATTGTATTGTATTTCTTCCTATGGGAATTCAGCCAATGCTGAAGGGACAATTGTGTTGCTGGTCATTTCCCTCCATGACCTCCATCATTTCTCATTTGGGACTTTTTCCTTGATCAGATTAATGTTCAACAGAGAATGCCCATTTTAAAAAAAAATGTATTTGGATAGCTACTTCAAGGAGGCTGCAGTTACATTTATACTTTAAGTAAAGGTAAGAGCTTTGTACTTTACCTCGAGTAACGAATTTGAAACTTTAGACCTTTTAGATGAGTATTTTCCTCATTAAGAAATTTATGTAGGCTGCTAAACCCAATCCTATCACAACTCCGGATTGTGGCTATTTGGCCCAGTAGCTAAAATGTAAGGTTGTTGGTAACGAGAAGCTTATGAAGCTGCGAGGTTAGCTTGAGGTACCACAGCCAACGCTAACCCAGACCAAGGCAAAGCTACAGTTTCACTGCACCACACCGAAACTGAACCACCACTCAGACTACAATGGTGGAGGAGTTTGATAAGCTTACATCGTCTGCCATTTTTCTGCCCGTGCTGTGCTGGAACAGGGCCGCTCACCACGGCCTTTCTGTCCTTCATACCAAAGGCCCAGTCTTTAAATTCACTTAGCTAATTGATTTCACCAGCCTCTCTCTCTGAGTCACGTTGCTGGCAATCATGTGATTCCACTGCTGTAGCATGTCGAGTGCCGAGTGCTCGACACCCTGAGGATGAGAGGACAGGCCCAGCTTCTCAGAGTCGAAACGGACTGCTCACCCGTGAAGTCTGACCACGCCTGTCGTTGTAAAGATGAGGTCAGTTGCGACAGCAGTAGCACAGGACACACCAAGCTGAAAGGAAACCTTCATTCAATGTTCATCTTTTATTGACAAGAAACCTTTGATTGAAAAAGTATAAATGGCCGAAGAAGTATTGATTACGTCACCGGGGAAAATAACATCGGTAAGTTACTATTATTATTATTATTATTATTATTATTGATGGTGGTGGTAGTGGTGGTTGTGCTTTTTACCTGTTGATACCTTCATTCAAACGTCATTATTTTGTTCTCTTATTTCTCTTTTTACTTTCATTCTCTAAAAATGTTGCCATTTTAAATCATCATACAAACTTCTGCCATTTGTCCTAAAGCTTCATAAAACACAGTTTCACTTACTTTTAGTTTTTAGCTGTTATCGTCATCTGTAGTCATCTGTTTGAATCAGTGTACATAGACATAGATGATGTTCATTTAATGTCACAAGACATTGTCTCTCTTTCCTCACGTGTGTATACATAAGTAGCTGCATCTGACCACTTAGTGGGCTAAATTAAGTCTTCCCCTGATCATCTGTCTGCACTGGTCCTAAGTAACTACAAGTACAAGTACTCCTCTTACCAGGTCACACAGACTACTTGAGCTGTTCCTGGGTGCCAAGTTCTCTCAAGAAACTAGATATTCTCAACAATCTAGATTATGGCCATTTATTCAGGAGGATTTCTATGATAAGGGCAACTGTTGTGTACAAACCTTTCAGTGATGTTTCCTATGCTCATAATACATACATTACAATTTCATCAGCACTATATGCTCAATAATGATATGCTGTCTTTTTACTTTGGCAAGTATAACACAGCAGCTGTCCACTTCTGTCCATATTAATAATTGATCTATTCTTTTGAGGTCTTGGATTCACTGTGACACCTAGTGGCTCCAGCTGTTGATAACACTGACAGATAATTATTTATTAGTTTGTTAATGTTAATGTGTCCTTCTTTTAGCTTTCCAGTTTAATAGTGTTATTACTGAATTTCAATAAATGGAGCTGAGTACATGTTAGCATTTGTTTTAAGTTTTATTGTTTTCTGCCTTCACAGACTGATACAACATTAAAAATGTATGTTATCCTTGTTCTCTATCTCTGTAGCACCTCACCTCATCCCTGTTGGCAGTGGCATTCCTCACCTCATTTGGTAGCTCTATGCTCTATGGCTATAACTTGGCAGTGGTCAACTCTCCTGCAGGGGTAAGAGCTCATTAAGTGTGATGATCACATGTATAATTAGACTAACTAAAGCATTTTCATGCTCTACATGCATCTGAAAGAGATAAGAATGGATAGTACCAAAGAGAAGATATGTCACAATATTTAAAAGCTTTTATTGCATGTTAGAAAGTGCAGAACTAGTGATTCCTGGAAATTAAATGGCATTACTAATGATTTTCCCTCTATGGCCAAATTGTGGGACACAATAGTAGTAATAATAATAATAATAATAATAATAATAATAATAATTGAGAATGAAAATGCCATGTTGGTGCTTATCAAGAAAAAATAAGACTACTTATATAATATGAGGCTGATACTGGACACTATTGATAATTCAATACCACGGTATTTTCCAAATGTATTGTTGCTGTTTGAAGAAAACTTTGTATCTCAATTTTTGTCATTTATTTTTTTTTTTACATAATTTGAAAATGTCAGTCAGCTCTTACATTGTGTAAAATTTCATGATGAATAGGCAAATAGAAATGGTCCAGAAATGTCTTGTTCCATCAACTACCATTTAAAGCTGAAAACATGTTTCCTTGTACTGTAACGTTATCATTTTCAAAACAGTGACGATCAGATGAAATTGTGCATTACTAAAGTTTATGAACCTATGCTTCCCAAGCACTGGTAATCTGTGCTAAATAAATTCCTTACTGTTAATTGGTCAATCAAAAAAAAAAAAATATTCTCACTATACAAACTTCACGTGTTAAAATATACTGATTGTTCATCAGTAAGCCCTAGTTCTACAGTGTAGTGGAGTTAGGTTCCCCTAGTGGAACCGTGAACAGTAGCTCCTCAGAGGCAGTGTTCTGTGTGAGGGATTTGTCATTGAATGAGGAATGTGGATGGAATTGGCCATGTGGCTGAAACAAACCCTGGCTGAAACTCAGGGAATGTAGCCCATGCTACTTCATCATGATTCTGTAACTTCTTCTCCTAGAAAAAGAGCAATGATTACTGTATTCTGTATTGCAAAACAGCAACAGGCTTGTGATTATGGACACTTTTGAAGATTGAGGTTTATTTATCAAATATAAGGAAGTGGAATATTCCTTAGTTAAGTTGATGGGAACACTGTTTTTATAATTGAGATGTATAATATTATCAATCTCAACTTTTCTGCCATTTTGTGCCGCAGTGGTTGCCTCTAGCAGGTCTTCATGTACAGTAAGTGGGGACCTATTTGCCCTGCACCATTAGTCTGTTAATGATGAAAAGATTTAAATTTTCCTGTTTGTTATTTCTTTGTCTCAGAGCTAGCTGTTACATCCCTCATGGAAGTGGTTTTGTTTTATGCTGTATTTGGAGCACTGTATGCACAGGATGCAGGCAATTACAATTTCAGCTCAAGATTTTAGAACATAATAAACCAAATGTTCAAATTATCACAGTCATTCTGATCTGTGGAGGATTCGATGTTGGGAATTGTTAGATCAGAACAGGAAACCTTGGATTTGTTCAAAATGAATTGAGAAAAGTGATTGACGGGACTTGAGAGCCAATGAAAGCTTTTCAGCCACTCATTAGAATCAGAAATGACTGTCACACAGTTGTACTCACGAGTCAATTACAAGATAACTGATATCGTAACCTTGAAACTTTAGTAAATCAGCTTAAATTGATTAGGAAAAAAGGAGAAAAAAATGCAAAGGAATTCAGTTAAACTGTGACCCGAGGATGGTAAGTGAGAGAGAGAGAAAGAAACAGAGAAAAAGAGACATAGTGAGTGAACTGCGTAAAACCAAGGCCTGTGTTTCCACTTAGATAAATGTACGCTTTATTGAAAAGGATCTTTGAGATCTGAGACATTTGACCTAATATGGATTTTAAGGATGGATGATACTATTATATTCCCCAAATAATGTGTGAATAGTGTCATATGAGTGTCATGTTATTTGGTTTGTGAAACAAGAAATAACTGTGCAACCAAATAAAATTAATTTCCATGATGGTGAGTGGCCGTGTCATGATAACATATTTCTTCTCTCCCACTCCCTATGTACACACAGTACATTAAGGACTTCTATAACCGTACTGTTGTGAGTCGAAATGGAACGGGGCTGAATGGAGAGGCGCTGACGCTCATGTACTCACTGACCGTGTCCGTCTTTGCCATCGGAGGCCTGATCGGCTCCTTGATGGTGGGCATGCTCGTCACAAAATTTGGAAGGTAAGTCTGGAGGAGACCCCATAACATCTGGCGGTGTCTGGTCACTCTGCCAGGTGCTCCCCAGAGTTTGAGCACCACTGAGGTACATGCCACCTCATCTGTTACCCCACATGACCTTTCGTACCTCTCTGGATGACCTTGGTCACCCTCTGGAAGAGAAACAGTTTTGTTGTTCTGCCCTTTAGGCTCCAAACTTTTCACAAACTTTTCAGATGGCCTCTGTGACAAAAATATCATTGATTAAAACTTTAGGGCCAGTGTCCTAGACCCTCTTTAACTGAAGGCTAAAAGAGATTAAGGCTTAGACTAAAAATAATTTCCAATGGTGAATCACCATTGATGCTTCAGTTTGGTCCATGGCAAGGTTTAATCCATATCTTGGAAAGCAGCCCTTAAAGGGGAGTTCCTTTCAAAAATTCTGCACAATTAATTTGTATTGATGTAAACACAGTCATATAGAGTGGTTTGATGTGAAATGCTCAGTTTCAGAGAAACTTACCAAATCAGAATTGTTCACAGTGGTGGTGACAGAAACCAGATGTCTGCCTCTTCAAGCTACTTCACAGAAAGCTATTATACAAACTTCTAACAAACACATTACATCATGTGTGAGACATTGTTTTGAGACAGTTTTGAAATGAGATTTTAGGCTAAAATGTGTTGTTTTATATACTCAGGGTGAAAAGGTACATACAGAGTGTTGGAAGGCAAAATAATCCCAGAAGAAAACTTTTTTCTTTCAGATTTACCACATTTTTTACCCTCTTCAGCTAAAACTCTGAAGACATATGTAGATTGACTGGTTGTTGGTCACTGATCTTTAAATAATAATTAAAATGGATATGTTTGTGTTGGAGACCACTGGTTCCTGTCACCATCTCTGTAAAGAAAAAAGTCAGTGAATATGTTTCTCTTGAATGGGGCAATTCGTATCAAACCATTCTGAATGGTGTACATCCCAACAACTGAATTAAGCAGAAATTTTAAAACATCTGTGGAATTCCACTTTAATATTTAAGATAGTGGTGTTTTTAATATACTCTCTCCTTTAATTATATGATTTCTTACTGCTGTTGTCTCATTTATTTTGATACGTCAGGAACATTATTAAAGCTGAAATTTTTAAGATGTTTATTCTGTCACAACGTAACATTTAGCAAATACGTGAATAGGTATACACGTCACACTTCATCGCTTTAATCATTATTCTGATTACACAACTCAATAATAAGCCCTTAGTCATCTGACTTCCATTCTCAATGGGTGCATTTGCTCACTCAGAAACTATAACAGTGAGTTCAACTATCATGGCAACATTATGCTTTTTATATATAGCAAAAGGAAACACATAGTAAGCTCAGATTCTACGTAATTCCTTTGTATTATCCTCAGCATGGACCTACACATGTCCAAATATACTCAGGCAGATCTTAATTAGCTGAAAGGGACAACACCAAAGTCTCTGAATGTATTGCTGATAAGACGTTAGGTTCAGTAGAGTTAAAACAGGATAAGCTTACACCAAATTAGAGCTTATACTAAACTTAAGGTTTTCAAGGGAAAAAATTGTCCCCACCCATAATTTAATGTGACTATAAGACATCAGAATTCTTTGGCACACTCACAGAGAGACTCACAAACTCGTCTGCTCTGAGCATCTCACGGGAGCCCCGAGATTAGACTGCAGACATTTAAATGCAAATGAAAGATGATGATTCACAACCCCATTTAATGTTCTAATCAATTTTGGTCCAGCAAAGTGTTTTATAGGACTAAGGCCATCATAACGCAGAGCATGGCACAGCTGGGTGTAAATCAGGGCGAAAGTTTACCACCTGATAGAACTAATCAAGGAGGCCAGCTATTTTACTCAGCGCTGCGGTCGTGGAACATCAATTATCTGGTTTTGATAGTTAAACTCCCTGGTGGCTGGCTGTTGAGCATAACTGCCCCAGCTTAATGAGCAGTGGCAGGAACAGGAATCTGTGTGTCTGTCTTTGCAGGAAAGGAACCGTCGTCAACTCCACTGTGCTGGTCTTCATAGCTGGCTCCCTGATGGGCTTCAGCAGAATCTGTGGCTCTCCTGAAATGGTCATTTTTGGCCGTTTCGTCACAGGAATACATTCAGGTAAGATGCTAGTCAGAAACTGAACACAATAGTGAGTTGGTTACCCCATAAACCCAAAGGACTTGTATGTGGCCTACAGTTCAGTTCTTCACCCTTAGAACTACATCATTACATATTACAGCACTTTTCCACCAGACAGCATGGTATGGTACGATTACTAATCCAAATGTAGAACTATCCAAACCCTGCTCGAGCACCTGTGTGTGTTTCCCATCACATAACAGTATCTGTAAAAAAGCTGGAGTCCCTTACACTTCTGGTGATTCCCTTAGAGGCCAATAGATGGCCTCACTATATTTAGCTCCAGCCATATATACCTGTTCAGTACACTTGATTCGCCTACAAGAAGTATAACCAAATTCAGCATAGGTATTTTATGGGTCACTTAACAACAGAAATGACGACAGACTGTGTGACCTTGGAGTAGTAACAAAACCAACCCATGCCTTACTGAAAAGCACCATTTGTTTTACAGTCGTTTGAGAATATTTTATAGTAGTTATTAAGTATTACAGTAATATTTAGCTGAATATTAAGCCTGCTGCATTAACAAAACTTAACTTCACCCATGGTGTGCCCTTTCTACTTTCCCAGGGATCTCTCTGAGTGTGGTGCCGATGTATCTGGGTGAGATTGCTCCCAAAAACCTGAGAGGCTTCCTTGGCCTCGTGCCTAGTATTTTTATCTGCATTGGCGTGTTCTCTGCTCAGCTCCTGGGCCTGCATGAACTCCTTGGAAAGGTAAATCACAAAATGTCACCATCATAACATTCTAAGAAGTGATTTCCCCCTTGTAAAGTTTTTCTGAGCAGCTAAAAAAAGACATTTGTTGTATTCCACTGTGGCCATACTCAGGATTAGAAATGAATGATCGGTGTTTCTCAGCTCCTGTCCTGGAAGTCTCTTCCACTGCACGGTTTTGTGATTTATGTGCTTTAACACATTTGATTCATGTCATCATCTAATTACCAGACTCCTCATGAGGTGAATCAGGTGCAGGCAAAACACAAAGCTGTGCAGCACAGGTAGTCCTCCATTGCTGGAGTTGGGAAACACTGAACCAGCACTTAATTACGCTTTCTAACTATATGTCTATCTGTGCTGCGTTGTTTGGCAGGAGGAGCATTGGCCCTTGTTCCTCTCCCTAGTGGTTGTCCCAACATTCGTTCAGCTGATGCTGTTGCCATGGTTTCCAGAAAGTCCTCGTTATTTGTTGATTGAGAAGCATAATGTCCATGCCACCATCACAGGTGAAAGAGCTGCTCAGTTTATTCTCTTTTGTTCTGAAAGTCTGTTGAAATTTAAACATGTATTTCTGTTTTTGTCAATCATATCAAATTTTTTACTAAAAGACTTTTACGTTTTTCTGAATGAATGTGACCATGTTATATTACATCATTAATTCTTTATATTAAATTTGCCATGATATATAAAACTCTACATTGAACTTTTGACACCGTCATATAATACTGTACATTGAATTTGCCTGTGTCATATGATACTATATATTGAATTGGTAACAATAGTATAAGATATTGTACACTGAACTTGTAACACCATCATAATACTCTGCACTGAGATTGTAACAGTGATGTATAATACTCTACATTGAATTTGTAACAATTAAATGTAATATTCTGTACTGAAATTGTTACACTATCATACAATATTGTTGCTGTCCAAAGAAAAACTTCTCAATTTTTGTGGATTTCTATTTTTCTGCATCATTTCGGCACAGCTGTTCTTTACATTGTGTAAAAATTTCATAATAAATGCACCAGTACATATGCTCCAAAATCACTTGGAATAAATCTTCTTTATATTAACATACATTATAATTTAAGAAGGTTTTTCTGCTGTAAACTTACTATTTTGGATATTTATTTCCTTTGGACAGTGACAATACTGTACATTAAGTTTGTGACAATATTGTATAGCACTCTATGTTGAACTTGTGATGCTGTCATATAATAATCCACATTGTGTGCTGTGTTCCCACAGCTCTGAAATGGTACAGAGCCAAATGTAACATTCAGGCTGAGATTGAGGAAATGCAGGAGGAGCAGCGCTCTCTGTCCACGGTGGAGACCGTGTCTGTCTGGCAGCTGCTGCTGGACCCTACAGTCCGCTGGCAGGTCCTCTCTGTGGTCATCATTAACATCGGGATGCAGCTGTCTGGTATTGATGCAGTAAGACAGTGTTTATGTTTACACTTGACTGCTTAGGAAGTTTTGACAGTATTCCAGTCAAAACAGCGTTAGTGGAGAATAGAGATGATTCATCCAGATTTTGTGACCTGGCATACACATGAACAAATCTGGCGCTGTGGGGATGAGCTGTGGGTTTAATGTTGTAATATTTGGCAGTCAAATCCCTAAGCTCCTGTACTCACAGAGAACTTGCCAAGATATTGCATGCCACAAAGCAACAGTGCAGCAGTAGAGAACCAGAGAGATAGCATAGTGCCAGTTGGTCTGAGTTTTTAAAACTCTTTTATTTTTAGGATGAGGCTATTCAAGGAGTATTACCTTGCTGAATTATTTTGTGTAGCTGCAAATTAATTATTCAAATGATTAAGTGGTCAGAGAGAGCAGAAAGCTCATACTTCACCCAACAGAGCTGAACAAATTAGAATCCTTCTAGAGTGTGTTTATAGCTTCTAATTTGCTGTGCCCCGCCAAGGCAATAAATAGATGCTATTATTAAAGCAAATCAAATATAACTAATCCTACAGTGGTCACACACCTTAGTTAAAGATATGTTGTCTGAAAGTTTAGCATTACAATATTTGTACTACCAAAGTAAATTGAGAAAGATGTCAACACTCATGACACATATAACATCTAGATTTTGAGAGGGTTGGTCAGGGCATGGGTGCAATACAGAAGACAGTCACAGAGAACATTCAGCAGTCTGTAAATTCATATGCATTGTTAAATATCTACAGTTTGTCTCTTTAAAGAACCATTTAAGGCACTATTTTTGTGTATATGGTACAGTGACAAATAAAGTTGATTTTTGAGGACGGGTTAGATTTTGAACAAAATAAAGACAGTGCTGACATTTCAGTGCTAATCATCATGCGAGCCCTTTAATCAGTAGATTTGATTTTCTCCTCTGCTATCTATAATGGCTGCCATGGAAACTGAGTATATTTTTACTTAAAGGTTCACTTTATAGTATTTGGTTTTGTGTACCAAAAACATCATTTTTATCTCTCTTTAACCTTAATTAGGTTGTTTTTGTTGTTGTTCCATTTCTTTGTAAACTAAGGCTTCACTATGGCATGTTATGTGGTATTATGTAGAACAGAATTGTATTCCCAGTCTCAGTTTGACAGAATTCACAAATTTATGACATTTTCATTCATCATCGATGTCACTACAATACCCAGCATGCATTACACAAATACAGCCAAGCTAATGTAACTTTTACATTAGTCATTGAACAAGATAGACATTTCAGTTAAAGAACACCTGTAGAGGCAGTATATCTGGATGAGGTGAATGCTGAAGCCAGAGGGATTGGCTAGCTTTCTGGATGTCGCTCTTGCCCCACACACAAGAGGATGTGGTTCCCATCCACACATCCACGGAGCGTTAGCTAAATATGTAATTGTGCTGGTTATCACCATTTTCCCAAATATATTGAACCAAAACGCTGATTTTCAGGTTCAGACCATGCCATGATTGTGTAGTAGTAGTATGAGGGGAGATTAAGGGAGCTAAAAGAGCTCTGAGGACTTGAGCTGGAGTTCTGGGTGGCTTCTGATTGGAGCTAGAAGTCCGGATCCCTTTTTCTTTAAATTGTGGCAGGACTGACATAGGACTGAGGAACAGGGAGCATTAGACTAGAAGCAGGAGAGATTACAGGCATGTTCCTTCAAATTTCAGTTATTCCATAACTCCATTTAGTGGTTATTGGAAAGGATGTTAATGCACCACAGAAAAATGATGTAGGGAGGTTGATGTAAGGAAGTTGTATTTTTAGTCAGTACAGAATATATGCCAGATAAAGTTTTTTTCCTATTTCAGCCACAGAAAAAGGAGCCAAACTGACATAATGTTAAAGTGTCTTATGGTATGTTAAGCTAATGTTAAGTTGTTGAGTTTTAGGATTTAATTTGTTGTTCTTCACTTCTCACGAGTAATTTCTGTCATTTGAATAATCCATGCTCTCCACTCTAATGATGATTTGAAGAAGCAGTAATGTTAGTTATCTGGCTTCCTTCTGCATTCACCAGCTAGCAACACTCCCAGTACTCCACATCGAACAGTTGTATTTTTTTCAGAAGTTCCTTCCATCTTGAAGATATGCCATTAGAAGGGAGATTTCCTAGTCTCATTCTAAAGACTGCTGTGGTACCGCTGTAGGATTCAAGTAGGGATTTTACAACTGATGTAGCAATAGCTAAATTTTTCATTTTGGCTGAACCATCCTTTAAAGATATGTATCCTCTGTTCTGATTGTCTGTGCTATATTGTGCCTCATTTTAAAAGCAGTCCAGGCTAAAACACTGCTTATAACTTTACCAGGAATGGGCAAAGCCAGACTGCTATAGATTCAATATGTGGATGCAGTATATAATATAGAATATATAGGTGAATGATATATTTACATATTATGTAAATGCTCTGTTTTGTGACAGTACAAAAAGTAATGAACATGGTCTGTTTTTGCAGCTTAGTTTTTATATGGGCTGTGTAGGGAGTAAACAGTACATTTTGAGACAATAGCAATGTTTACATACTACATAAACTCTGTTTAAAATAGTGAGGATACAAATGAGTTTTTCCATGATGTGGACACAAACAAACAGACTGAAAACAGATTAAGAGTCATAACTGCTTAGATAGATGCAGATATAAAATGATGGTGTCTGTCAATCATGACATAGTGGAACATGAATGAAAAGACAGAGAGGGAGAAAGAGATAGTGTGATTGTGTGCGTGCGAGTGTGTGTGTGTGTGTGTGTGCAAGTGTGTGCATGCATGTGTGTAAATGGGGCTGACAGGTGGTGAGTCTTGGCTGAGTTGAGCCGAAGCAGCAGGAGAGAGGCTGGCCGTGTGTGTCCTCTGCACTCCCAGCAGCTCTAAAACCGTCTGTGTTCCCTCTGATTACCCCCCTGCCTAAACTCGCATACACCCTTCCAGCCCCAAAATTGAATCTGAAGTGTTGTACACCGGAACCGTGTGGCCACGATGTGCCACCTGTACAAGCCAAAATCATCACCCCCCTCTCTTTTCCTCTCTCACCATCTCTTCCTCTGCCTTTCCCTCTGCCTGTAGATCTGGTTCTACACCAATGACATCTTCGAGAATGCTGGGATTCCGGCCCCTGAGATCCCGTACACCACCGTAGGAACAGGGGCCATAGAGATCATTGCAGGCCTCATAGGGGTGAGTATTTTTATTCAACCAAAAGTCTTAGAAAATTGGAACAGATTGTTTCACAGCTTTGGTCAACATTAGCAAATCAGAGGTGTCATTAAGGCTCTTGTAACTATTTATGGCCCCATGTACTGGGGTATGGTAGAGGTTAGGTCACTGTCTGACCTATTTTTAGATGTAAAACATCTCATAGGCCTGGTTTAAAACTCTTTTGAAAGAAGTATTACTGAGTCAGGCGGGGAAAAACACACTAAAACATGGTGTCTATGTGCTGCTGTAAGTCACACTCTAAATCCTGAAATAATAATTTAAAGGTCTAAGATGTTGTGTCAGATTTTGCGAGTTTTTTTGTCGTGTCAGATTTTGCAAGTTTTTTTGGACCACATCATATGTCTTTACGTATCAACATCACAGGCTCAATGAGAGGTCCACTTCAGTTTTAAATACAAATAATAACCATTATACTGATGTAGATATGATTTACTTACTTAACCAAAAGTTTATGTCCTGCACCAAGCTTAGACTAAGCACAACTGACATTATGAAATTTTCTTCTGCTTGTTTTGTGCAATTACACATTTCCACCAAATCACCAAAACTTACATAATGTATTTATAATGCATCATTGTATAAAATATAATGAATCATGGTCATATATTCTGAAATCATTATCTTTCTGCTGCATGAAATTATAAATTTAAAGTAACTTCAAGGCCTGCTGAATCTAACTGTATCACAATAAAAGCAATATTAATGAACTTTACTTGACCTATGCTTGTTTATGATTGGTTAAATTAAAATCAGAGCAGAATTAAATCAACCAGGCTGCTCTCTGCATCACATGGTACCAAAAAGGGATTTTTAGAGCTACACTGCTTCCCCAAAGAACATGTCGATGGATCTGTAAATGAGATATGTAATTGTGAACTTTTTTGAAGTTTACCAAACCTACCAGGATTTTTTCCATGAACTGTACCATATGAATCTAAGATAAGCAAAGAACCATTTAGGAACTTGTATTTTTAAGAGTGTATGATCAATGTAGGCGACAATGATAGGACCAAAGGAATGAATCACTGTGATGATTTCTGGCCCAACCGTTGAAAAATACATTCCACGGTCCATGAATGGCATAGTATTGGAGCTCTTTGGTGCTTCCCTTTGACACAGTAGCTTTGACAGTAGAATTGTTAAGTCAATGGTATTGAGTGAGAATGAGCTGCTCCTTGTAGCACTGTGCTAGAGTTGTATGGAGAGCAGGCCTGTGTGAGCTGTCCCTCCGGAGCATCTCTGCCCCTCCGTCTGTTCCGTCTGCTTCACTTTGCTTTTCTCTCCATCTTCTGCAGTGCACTTTCTCTAGTTTTCCGCTCTGACACTCATAGAAAACAGTGTATGAAATGAGGAGAAGGCATTAGAGAGACGGATGATGCTTGTTCCCGCCGGCTCCTTCCCTGGGTCACATCTCAGTGCTGTAATGGAGGCCAGACGCAGTCTCCCTCTCCCAGTCGTATCGCTTAGCCAGGATTTAGTGATGCACCAGCAGCGGCTGGAGGAGGCGAGGCACGCTGTTAGTCAGGAGAACTCATTGCTGTCAGTGTCAATTGGTCCTCACTTGGGAGGCGAATGGCACACGGGAGGAAGGCCAGAGATTGGTTATAAAATTACAGCTATTCATTCTGCTGTCAGCTGCTCTCCGCACCCTCCTTTAAGTCAGCACACTGCTTTGGCTTTCATCTTTACTAACACTTAATGAAAAATTTAACATTCCACTCTTATTGTTCCAGAGTCTGAGTTCAGAAGTGCAGTACCAAATGTGTTAAAGCAACAACAAGGAATTTCCAAAATAGTGCCATGACCAACTAGGACAAGCTCAGAGTTTTCCAACAGAGGGCTTGTTAATCAGTGAGAGCCTGTGAATTTCCCCATTTTAATGCATGAAAATAGAAATACTTGAAGTAACATAAAAGCTTGCTGGGTCTACCTGTATCTCAATAAAAAATCACTTTTAGTTTTGGCATCATTATGATTGGTTAGACCATTCCATGTCCAACAACTGCCATTTAGTATGTCAAGAAAGATGCTACAGAACATATTTTCTTTTGTCTAATGTGATGGAATTTTGTGAAGTTATAGTTACATAAAGCATATATAGTAGTTATAGTTATAGACAACAATCAAATTTTTACTGTGTATTGTTTTGTTTAAAATCAGCAGTCCTTTACAACCAAAAGGATTGATGATTAGTCATAAAAACTCACTTTTTAGACTTGTGGTTTGATCAATATATATAAAAAAAAACACTCAGAACAGGAGGAAATTTAACATTTCAGATATGGACACTAAAGGATTAAATTCAAACCATTGCAGAATTAAATCAATCAGACTGCAATCAGAGTTTGCCATCCAAGAATAATGAAGATACATTAAGTTTTGGCAGTCTTGAAGCTCTGCTGGTGCTTGAATTCCTGTTTTTGCCAGTACTAAAAACTTGCCTACTGGTTACAGCAATCCCTGATCAGTCTTATTATATTAATGAATCGATGTGACTAAAGAAAAACAAGGGAAATGTTAGTGAATTCACATCTTTCATTAATTCCTTTTTTTAGTGCTTCACTATTGAGCGGCTGGGAAGAAGGCCGTTGATCATTGGGGGTTTTGCAGTCATGGGAATGTGTTGTGCTGGGATAACAGTTTCCCTCATACTACAGGTGAGCATTACTGGATCTAGAGAAACTACTTATCTCTATGTATTGGATTTATTATTTTGTAAAACTTATAGCTTATAGTATTCCCTGTATAAAAGACTGTGTCATGCTTTTATCATCCTTACTTAGGTGCATGTGCAATTCATGAAGTATGTAAGTGTGGGCTGTGTTGTCGGCATCATTGCTGGGTTCTGTATAGGACCAGGTAAGTAGTCCTGTGCATCTATACGTTCTACTCTTTTTTTAAGTAACTGGCTTTTGAAACATTGCTGCCTTGCTGCATATGCTCAGACATGGTCTCCAGAGTATTGTTTAGACTGGATCAACAGATGGCCATCCTTTGACCCCAGATTTCCCACGACGTCTGGAAGTAGGGAAATAGCGACACCTGGAGGCAAAATGTCAGACCATAAAATTTGGAAAAAAAAATGTCTACAGGTTCCTGAAGCCTTAAAGTTCTTACCTCATATATAGTTACAGTAAAACAAAGTGCATTATTTATACATTTATTAGTTTATTTCCTAACTTGAATAGTTTAATAATGATTCCTAGACTTCTTGAGGAAATCTAACCTTCAGAATGGAAATTTTGTGCTTTGGATCAGAAAACACATTCCTTCTTCATTCTCTGCTCATGTATACTCATGAAGTGACCTCACAGAAACTAATAAAGTATGTATATGTATAATGTACAGTTTATCTTATTACTGCTTATGGTATTATTGTACTACAGCTGTAACTTTTTCTTATGAAATACATCATAATTAAACCGCACATTGCTAAGTAACCTGGATTTAGAAGAGCGAGGTGTATAGTTCATAAGTTTTAAAGTGCATAAGTTGCTCTTTTAGCGATATATCAATATCAAGCATGGAGTTTATGCATGCCACAAGAGCAGAGCAGAGGAGCACTGCTAAAATGATGAATGAGACTGCAAGCACTTTACTCTGTTGATGTATTATCCAACCCCACTCCAAAATCTATAATTCATTCTCAGGCCGCAGTCTCAATCGCTGTAATTACGTCTTTAATTAGGATTTTTTATGGCTCATTGTTCATAAACAATGATGAATATGGCTTTTTAAGACAAAATCCTGCATGAACAATGAATTACAACCAGAGCTCCATATCAGTTTAACTGCAGCACGCCTTCTACTGCAATTATCATGCACAAATAATGAAGCCGCCGCTTGGCTTGTTCCTGAATTCATTAGACTTGAAATAACACCTTGCGCCTGCTTATTTTTCACTTGTAACCAAAAGGGATTACAAGTTAAGCACTGGAACAATCCCTACTTCCTGCATATTGAGATAACGAGCAGCTCATAAAGCTACTTTATTGTCCTCCTCCCACCATGAACTGTTGCATTATGGAAAAGCACTGCCTTATGCATTTCTATGTATAATATAGGTATATATGAACGTTATGTTTGCACATGCTTCATATAACAATGTATATACCTTAGAAAAAAGAGGTTGAGTTTCAATTATTAGCAATAATCAAATGAATTTTGCTTTTTGTTTTTAAGCTGGTGTTCCGTTCCTGATCACGGCCGAGCTCTTTAAGCAGTCTCACCGTCCTGCTGCGTATACTGTGGGAGGCTCTCTGAACTGGATGTCCAACTTCACCATTGGCTTTATCTTCCCTTTCTTACAGGTGCTATAACTGATTTATGTTCACAGTTTATTCAAAATGGCATTCCACCCAAAATCCACTACATAATATGTAATTCTTAGCCAACACAACATTGGAGTATGTTATGGCATTAACAATGTTCTGTTGCTTTTGTACAACAGAAAAAGTAAAGAAACCACAAATTATTTCAGATATGTTCAGGGTTATTATTGCCAGTTTATTCTGCTTAAAAAGTAGTTACACCACAAACATGGAGTGAAGCAACCATTTTCAGCAACCATTTCAGTGGTCAGCAGAATGACACAGGTAAACTGCTGTTCCTCAATATAGTACCACAGGAAGAACTCTTTGCAACCAGATTGTATAGTCTGAACTGAATGTTGCACAGTTTCCCATCAACACTGTTTGAAGCAGTTTAACCAATATGCATTAGGTTGCCCATAGTGGAACACAGTAAAAGACCAGACGTGTGACTCCATTGTTTAGGAAGTGAATGCTGTCAAAAGTCAGTAAGGCACACTAAACTTCAATCTACTGGCTGCAAAACATGCTTTATGAAGCATAAGGCAGCAGTGAGGTTGTGGTCACTCTGGGATTTTATATTTCCCATATACTTTCACAGACCCTTCATATGCTGCTCCTACCATCTCATTGTTCCTTTGGCCTAAGTTTGTTTAAGCTTGTACCCTTTTGTCTCTCTGCCACAGATGTCTGCTGGATCCTACTGCTACCTGGTGTTCAGCAGTGTGTGCTTAGCAGTAGCTATCTATGTGTTCTTCGTCATTCCTGAGACAAAGAACAAGACGTTTGTGGAGATCAGTCAGATGTTTGCCACTAAAGAGGCAGTGGTAGAGAGCCAGGCCCTCAGTCAGCCGGATCAGCTCAAACTGAAGAAGATGAACGGATATGGAACGCTAGAAAACGGCTCACTTGAGTTCGACAGCTCCTCCTCCTGTCCCTGATCCCAGAGAGGGAGAATTTAATCATGTGCTCTGTTTCTGTTTTCAGCAGGTTCTACATGGCTCAGTTAACTATTTTCTGAGCCAGCGCATACATTATGTGGCCATTATGTCACATATTAATAGAACCTGTAAGAATTTTAAGAATATTTATTCAGTGGTATAGTCTATTCAAATACAGATTGTGTTTTTATATATTACTTGGAGATTTGTGAAAACACCTTGCTTGAAACCTAATTAATGCTGTATTTTCTGAAGTAATTTCTTTAACATTGAAACAAAGGTGCATTTGTCTTCAATCTTTGTAATAAAGGATATTGTTTGTTAGAGAATATATATGACTTATACACAAGATGGTTGTATAAAGATGATGTATTTTCTGTTATAGGACTCCGGCTTATTAGAAAAATAGAAATGAAGTTATTGTATATGTGTCGTATAACAGTGTACATAGATGCTGTATCAGACTTTCCTCTTCTTGATTTTATTCTGACAGACGTTCTGATAGATCTTTGCACATGATATTGGTCACTCTGTTGAAATGCTGATTTATCTCAGTGAGAGCTGTTGTAATGTTGCAATACAACTTCAAGCTCAATTTATGACATGGCTATCTTTTAATTTCAACATTATCCCGTTATTTTTTTATGTTAGTATATTTGTAGTCATGCTGTCAAGACTGTCATACGGTGCTCGAACAGGGTTCAGTTGCCATAATTTTCATGTTGTGGATGAACAATAAGATGTATGACAAACTCTGGAGTATATTTTCTACTCCAACTATATTTCCCTTAATGTGGATTGAGGTTCTCTTTTTATAACACGCAAATAAAAGACTTTCAAATGGATCTGTGGTACTTCATTTATAGAAAGCATCAGGGGGGCAAGGTGATAAAAGCTTACAAAGCAGGATCTGAGGAGGTTTCTGCCAAGCAACTCCAGTGCCAGCCCAGAGCGGCTTCATTAACTCACTGAGGAGGCGGATTTAATGCTTAATTAAAGAAAGGCTTTCTTTCTCACCTTACTCTATCGGTATTGAGCTCCTGTATCGATCAACTACATCTAAAAGCATTATACGGTTTTGTTTTTGAGCGTTATCCACTTCGAGGCACCAGCCATAGTTAGCACGAGCTACGCAAATACGTCTTGCCTCACTCCAGTACAGAGATATAATTTTGTACGTAAATTTAGACCTACTTTCATTCTAATTACATCTAATTAGGTTTAAATTAGATTTAAATTACACAGCAGAAATTCCATCGTTATAAGAGAAGAGAAAGGAATCATATCGGCTTAAATAAATCCCTCCTCGGTCAGTCCTCTGTGGTGCGGTGTAGCTGCTCTTCATCTTGACTCTGCCCTCAGAGCTGCAGGCTGGGTGTGGCCTCTCAGCGCAGCTCCATCAGGTGCAGAGATGTGTGGCTGCTGAGCGAGCTGCTAGCCTTGCTGGCCCCTAGGCAGTGGTGCTCCATCTGTGTGTGAGCCTCGCTGGCTCCCCAGAAGAGGCCCGCGTAGACAAATGATAGGAAACGCCCGCGTCTCTCGGTGCAAGAAGAGAAATTGGGAACTAAATCGCGTCTGGCTCTCAGCTTTTCCCGAGTCTTCGTCCATTGGACTCAAGGTCACTGCTTAATACGAGTTCTCGACGGGCCTGCGTCCGCAGCTGCGCTGTCTGAGTACACTTTCCGAGGAGGAAAGACCACACAGGACTTTCACCCTTTCAGCTGATGTGAGTTTGGAAGAACTTTCAAAACGAAAGGCAGCTGTGGAAGGTAGCTTGATTTTGGTCAGGTTCTTTTCCCTTTTGAATGTTTTTCTGCCTTTACAGAGACACACATTTTTGGTGACTCACAGCTCAGACACATATACAGTGGTGTGAAAAAGTGTTTGCCTCCTTCCTGATTTCTTATTCTTTTGCATGTTTGTCACACTTAAATATTTCAGATCACCAAACAAATTTAAATATTAGACAAAGATAACACAAGTAAACACAAAATGCAGTTTATAAATGAAGGTCTTTATTATTAAGGGGAAAAAGAAATCCAAACTTACAGGGCCCTGTGTGAAAAAGTGATTGCCCCCTCCATTAAAACATAAATTAACTGTGGTTTATCACATCTTTGGAAAGCTGAGTTCAATTTCACCCAGGCCTGATTACTGCCACGCCTGTTCTCAATCAAGAAATCACTTAAATAGGACCTGTCTGACAAAGTGAAGTAGACCAAAAGATCCTCAAAAGCTAGACATCATGCTGCGATCCAAAGAAATTCAGGAACAAATGAGAAACAAAGTAAATGAGATCTATCAGTCTGGAAAAGGTTATAAAGCCATTTCTAAAATTTTGGGACTCCAGCGACACACAGTGAGAGCCATTATCTACAAATGGCGAAAACATGGAATAGTGGTGAACCTTCCCAGGAGTGCCAGCCGACCATAATTACCCCAAGTAACACAGCATTTCAGAAAAGGAACATCATACTAACAGTAAAATCTGGTGGTGGTAGTGTGATGGTTTGGGGCTGTTTTGCTGCTTCACGGCCTGGAAGACTTGCTGTGGTAAATGGAACCATGAATTCTACCTGTCTACCAAAGAATCCTGAAGGAGAATGTCCGGCCATCTGTTTGTGACCTCAAGCTGAAACGCACTTGGGTTCTGCAGCAGGACAATGATCCAAAACACACCAGCAAGTCCATCTCTGAATGGCTTAAGAAAAACAAAATGGAAAAAAACTTTGGAATGGCCTAGTCAAAGTCCTGACCTGAATCTGATTAAGATGCTGTGGCATGACCTTAAAAAGGCGGTTCAGGCTCGGAAACCCTCCAATGTGGCTGAATTACAACAATTCTGCAAAGATGAGTGGGCCAAAATTACTCCACAGCGCTATAAAAGACTATCACAAAAAAAGTTATCACAAACGCTTGATTGCAGTTGTTGCTGCTAAGGGTGGCCCAACCAGTTATTACGTTTAGGGGGCAATCACTTTTTCACACGGGGCCCTGTAGGTTTGGATTTCTTTTTCCCTTAATAATAAAGATCTTTGTTTATAAACTGCATTTTGTGTTTACTTTTGTTATCTTTGTCTAATATTTAAATTTGTTTGGTGATCTGAAACATTTTAGTGTGACAAACATGCAAAAGAATAAGAAATCAGAAAGGGGGCAAACACTTTCACACCACTGTAAAATAACAGGACTATGGTAGTTAAAGAAATTAACAGTTCATTGAAAGATCTACAAAATTTACAGAATTTCCCCACATCGCGTAGTCTAAAGGGGAAGAAGTTTGACCAGTTTAGTCATGGCCAGTTGCTGACCGTTAGCTGCTTTTCCTCGTATCACACAATGCTACCAGCCTGGGAATGTTAAGTCTAGCACCAGGAGCCAGAATATAGCACATCTCGCAATACTTCAGTTTTCACAAGCTAGGATATGTCACGATACTTGTTTTTCTAGACATCTAATCAGTTGAAACAGAGAAAAAAGAACCAGTAATGCTACATTAGAAATAAATACTATCAAAAACTATGAATACAATAATTTTTACGCTAAATCTAGGCAAAGGTTTGTAACTAGTCAGTGTTCTACCAGTACTGATGATATTGAGATATCGACACAGAGTGAACTCAGCATCCAAAGTTTGTATTTTAAGTTTTGTGCATTAGGCTAATGTAGCTAACAAGTAATTGGAAGTCTGTGTTACTGAAAATCTTTTTAGTGACATAGACATTAACTCTCATATCTACCACAAAACTAAAGACACAGACGTCAGACACCAAACATGCTTGAGGTAACAGGAAAATTGTGTACATTTGGTATTTCAGCGAACCATTCCTTCCATCCAGTGTGTTCCACTGCTGTTGAGTTGCTGTTATTCTTAAATGCACACCCAGCTTGCATGGCTCCTCGCACAGCACTAAATACAGGAGCTAATATTTCACTCTGAATTGACTCCCCTGATGGAATGACTGTCGTCCTGTAGGTCAGCAGGAGGAGAGGATGTTGGTCTAATTAGCAGCAGAAGAATCTACCATCTCTTCAGCACCTGTCACTGCAGGCTCAACTCTGCCTCCTTGTGGCTGGGGAAAGGAAGAGAAGGTTAGCTTATAGGGGCATTGCTTCAGTGTATAGGTATTCACTGTTTTCTTAACATACCCACTTTAACATGTTCTGGTGTTTCCACACTTCTAAAGAGGGGCAGCCTGAAATGTGGACACAGTATCGGTGACTGTATTTACTTACATGTATTCAAGTTTGTAGCTAAAAAGGACATGCTTAAAATACTCACAACAGAATGAAAATAAGCCTGAGAACGTTGCCACCTCCCTCCGACCTCGTAAAGAACACAAACAGACACAGTACCCTCACAAAGAAGACCCGCTGCTCCCTCTAACATTTTAATTAATGACAACAGATTTTCTCCTCATAAGTGCTTTAATGTGGCTTATTGCTGTTGCAGTCCCCTTGGCCGTGGAAATATTATGTTGACGGATGTGCTGTGTCGCTGGCACTCCCTGGATGGAGGCAGCTGTCAGGCCCGGGATGATAACATTAACGCAGGGGGAAAGTGATGACAAATGCCTGTTATCAGCGAACGAGGCCGGTGACAAATCGAATCGCGGCTCCCAAGAACCCCCATTACACCGTAATAAAAAAAGATTGATGGTCCTCTCTGTCAGGACCTCTGTTAATGCGATTTCGACTGGTCTCTCCGGCTTCCAATTAAGATGGGGAGGAGAGAGAGAGAGAGAGAGAGAGGGAGAAGTAGAGAGAGAAAGAGAGAGAGAGAGAGCAGCTACACTAGCCCTACTAATTGGATCAGTGGAGCCAAAGGCACTTTCTCTCTCACTCTATTTCTCCCTCTCTCTCATCTCTTCCTTCTCTCTCTCTCTCTCTGCTTCTCTCTCTCTCTCACCCCTCCCTGGCTCTTGCGGTGGCACGGTCTGGAGCGTATCTTTGTGCATTCCGTTATTTCAGGATTTATGGCTGGGTGGTGGGGATGCAGCCTGTGCCGGCAGTGATGGGGAGCGCTCTGTCTCTCTGCCAGCTCACACATACAGACAGGCACAGATGGGAGCAGAGATACAAAACCCAGCCAGTGATGAAACATCCTGACAAACAGTGGGACAGACAGAGAGACAAATAGCTCCACGTGAACCACTTGCCATGCAATTAAGTAAATAAGGATTGACTGTGTGTCACTGGTGCGCTCGGAGTATGCCATCCCTCACTGATGTCTGTGCGTCACCCACTGATTTCATTATCGACGAATGCTTGTTATGCTCCTAAAGGACTTTTTGTGGATTAAATGGTAAATGACTTGACAATGCCTAGACAAAGAGCTCTGCCCATTTTGATAACATGCTGCCTGTTAGTATCACCTGGAGGTTATGCCATCAGTAGCCTTGACATCCAGGCAATAGCACCACTTGGATCTGCTGCACCACTGCTCTGGCGTCAGCCCAGCCCTTTTAGGGCTAGAGGATTGGCTAGAATATAGCCTTTGTCTGAGGCACATATTTTTGCTCAAAGCTCTGCTGGCTGGGGAATTCATGGGGGACAAAAGTGACCGTGCTAGTGTCCAGAAGTGTCTTCTGATGCTGTGTCACATTACAGGCCACTCAGTTGCTGATCCAGAGTCCTTTGCAGAACTCAAACCGCCTGAAACTATGCTACTGCTAACTTCACT